GCCTAAAATAGGAGACCAGGCTCCCTGGGGAGTTCGGCCTGCGCGTGTTTTCCTATTATTTCTTTAATTATAAACAGGGAATTATTGCGGGAACTTGCAGGGGGCAGATAGAAGGGTGTCTCTGAATGGGCTTCAAACTGCATTGTTGTCCAGGCAGCAGACTGGCCAGAGCAGCAGGAGGAGGTGGCAGGAGCCCCAGAGCTATTTTAACTTCGCCATCGCTTTACATGGAGCGGCCACAGCAGGCTCTGCAGAGGGCGGGGCAGTGGAAGGGGCCGTGGAAGGAGCTGGTCCTAAGCAGTGTTCACTGGGTTTGCTGGGGCCTCTTTTCAGACCCAAATGCAACCGCCCGGGCGGGGCGCCAGGCGGGGCCACTTGATTTACTTAGCAGCTGTGATGTGGGGAGAGGCGTCCGCACCGTGAAGCAGCAGGACTACGTTTCGTCACATGGAAGACAGAGTCAAGGTTGTAAAGCAGCTGGCCGTGAGGTGGGGCGGTCACCTGGGTCATCCGGTGGGTCCGGGGTCAGCCCCAGGGTCCTTTGATGTGCAAGAGGAAGGCAGGATGGTCAGAGTCAAGAGTGATGTGAGGGGACATGGGAAGTGCCCACCGGCCACTGCTGGCTTCGGATGGGAGGAAGGGGCCGAGCCGAGGAACGCGGGCAGCTTCTGGGAGCTGGAGAACGCCAGGGGGTGGATTCTCCCGGGAGCCTCCGGAAGGACTCGGCCTGTGACTCCCTGACATTAGCCCAGGGAGACCCGCTTCAGACGTCTCACCCCAAACTGTGACATCATATATTTGCGTTAAGCCACCAAGTTGTGGCCATTTGTCCAGCAGCCCTAGGGACTGATACGGGCTGGGTTTGTACTTGTCAAACCCCAGTGCCAAGGAAAAGGTGCTGACAGTCTGTCTCCCTAGAGGGCGGGCTGGCTCTTTAAGATCTGTGTGCATGCAACCCTCCTGGAGTTCTGACTCAATTCCGATTCCTGGGCCTGGCCAGGTTCGTACTCAGGAGGCCCAGGACTGTCTCTCCAGCTGTTTCTAATGTAGGTGGTCCTTTTTGGGGTGATGCATATTGAGATATAATTCACATATCATACAGCTCCCCCGTTTAGCATGTACGACTCAGTGGTTCTCAATATCCTCACGGAGTTTGCGACCATCACTACAGTCAATTTTAGAACATTTTCATCATCACAGAAAAGAAACCTGACACCCTTTACCCAACACCCCTCAGCACCCCCCCCCCATTCTATCTGGCCCCGAAAACCACTCGTCTGCTTTCTGTCTCTGGGATCTGCCTGTTCTGGACATTTCACATAAATGGAATCACACAGTACGTGGCCTTTTGGGACTGGCTTCTTCCCTTTCATGTGATGTCTCCAAGGTTCATCCGTGTGGGAGCGTGAGCAGTGCTTCCTCACTGTTTAAGCCTGAGTAATAGTCCACCGTCTGGAGGGACCACGTTGTGTTCATCCAGGCGCCTGGCTGCGGCTGTGGGTCCTTTCTGCCCTCGGCTGTTGTGAGTAGCGCTGCTAACGCACTGGTGGCTGGAGCCCCCGTGAAGGCCATGCCGAGGCGGAGGGCACAGGGGCCCGGGCGCCATCCTCCCTTCTCTACGCTTTGCCTCCAAAGCAGGGGTTGGGGCGGTGAGCGCAGGGAGCCCCCAGAGGGGAGGGTGTCTGTGCAACCACACGCTGTCCTGACAGCATCTCACTGAGCCGTCACAGCCACATGGCAGCTGACGGGCAAATTAGGGCTCCCATTTCACAGATGTGGAAGCTGAGGCTCACAGGGGCTCAAGTCACATGATCAAGCTCACAGTTAAGAGGCAACAGAGCCTGAGCCCCGAGCCAGCGATGCCTCCTGTAAGCGTCTGTCTCCACCAAAGGTTACATGGCTGGGAGAGAGAGAGAGGGAGAGAGGAGAGAAAGCAAATGGAAAATCCACTTATTCCATCTGCGGAGCTCGTTTGCCTCCACTCTGCCCTGCTGCCGGTAGTGACCTGGATGCTGAGCACAGGCT